GACCTTGTAAGGTCTCTTTCATATCACTGCAAACGCCTGCAACCACCTCTTCAATGCAGGGAGGTCCTTAAACACCTTCCCACTCTCAATTACCATGTTAGGGCCGGCCTCAGGAGCTTCTAGGAGCTCATCATCACGTCCTTCTGCACACGCCTGATCAGAATGAGCAAGATCGTTGAACTTGTGAACTCTTAGATCACGGCGGCTAGGAAAGATATGCCTTAGCATCTCAACATCACTCTCTGTCAGCTCTCCAACAGGGCAATCATCATCAGAATCAAGAGCCCTTGCCATCTCATATGGCTCTGAATCATTTATAATTTTAGCACTATTGGAGCCACGAAATCCATCTCCACGGTGCACTTACGCAGCAACAGGGGGCACATCCACATTCTCAGGAATGTCTCCTGCAACATAAGCAGAGAAATGAGGAAAGAATGAAAGAAATGGATGTAAGGAAGGGGGAAGCTCCCAATAACCATGCGGTTAAGACACTTACTCGGATGATTCTATGTCAAAGGGATCTCATGAGGAGGATCTTCCACAACAACATGAGTCTAACAAGCATCTTCAACTACCGCATTGGGGGCAGATTGAGCATCGAGAACCGTAGGTGCAACCTCCACATCCATATCAGGTTCTGGGACAGGAGGGTCGATGTGTGTCTGCCGACCCATTGGTGGGGAAAACCCATGAGGGATGGGATCAACTAACACTCGACGCACGACCACGTCCAAACATTGCAGCTGGCTCTTTATAGCCGATCTCACATAGTTCTCCCACTGATCCGCACACTCAATTAGGATCATTCACCTGAGGATGCTGCGAGGAGAACCTAGGTGCAGTACACCCCCAATTGCAATGCCATCATCTCCAAGGCCATGCAGCTTCTCCTGAGCCCTTGCAACCATCTCACTAAATAAAGGCCTATCATTGAATAGCACAGGCACATTTTGCATATCAACAAACTCAACATATCCATAGCGATCGTATTCAACGGTGCCTCCATAATATATGGTCACTAGGTTGTCCATCTAGTTCAAACATATAACGAAACACATATCCTTTAGTCCAAATTAGACGATAGATAGTACCTAACAAGTACTTTCTAACTATAAACTAAGTAAATAAGATAATAACTACATACATAGATACAATATACTAACTAAATAGTTAGATCCTATTTAGTTAACTAAATATATAACTACCTATCTAAGTAGCTATCTAACTATATTTATGTATCTATGTTTCTATCTATCTACATGTATATCTCACTAGATCACTAACTAAATCAACTACCTGAGTCATCACATTAACTAGTAAATAAAAAATGCTAAAACTATTACACTACAATCAAAGCTAACTAAGTACGCACATTGCAAATTCATAATTTTTACCTGTCCGACGATGGAGTCGCGGACGTCGACGGAGTCGCAGCAGACGTCGGGCGTGGGTCAGGCCGATGAGCCAGGCTAGCGGGGGCACGGTCGAGGACGGCGGTGGCGCGCGGCGGGCGTGGGAAGCTTGGCGCTCTGGGCGGCGAGGCCAGCTCGGTGGGTGTGGGCAGCACGGCGAGCGTGTCATAGGTCGGCGGTGGCGGGCGGGTCATGGTCACGGCACTGCCGGGTGGGGGCAGCGCCAAAGCGGCCTTGGCTTGAGACAACACGTCAGGCGAGCATGGCGCTTGAGGACGCGCGGCAGTCCGGCAGCAGCGCTGGTAGCGGCTGGCCGTGGCGGGCGGCTGACATCTGACAGCGCTGCGCATGATGGTGGCAGCGCGGGAAACGGCGAGGACCGGCGCGACGCAGGGCGCGCAATCCCGCAATGGCGTGGCGCGGCGCGACCGTGCGGCTTCGTGTTGGCCGCGCGCTGGGCACGGGCGCTGGCGAGGTAGAGAGGCATGTGCGTGCGGCCAAAAGTCGGAGAGAGAAAGCGCGAAGCGGCGGCGGTTCTCTGCTCGGGCGAGGAAAAAGCGTGAGAGAGAGGGAGGGAGAGGAAGAGAGAAAGATTGGGGCCCATACGTAAGACAGGCTTGGCGTCAAGATCTACGGCGTCGAGTTTGGCGCCAGGGTAACTGGCGCCGAGCTTTCTGTCATGTCACCGCCACGTTTGTTTCGAGTCCAAGAGCTCGGCGCCAGGGACGACGTGTTAGCTCGGCGCCAGCATCGATGGCGTCAAGTTAAGAGTCCAGATTTTAAAATCAGACATATTTATGATTTTTTTTTAAAAAAAGACTGAAAAATAAAAAAATTCGATACGGTGGTACAGCAGATCCGCCGTTCGGCAAATCCGGCATTCTCGCTGTACGTCGCGTCGCTCCTATCTTTTCCTGCGCCTGCGTGCACGTGCACGAGATCAATGCTGCCTGCGCTGCGACTGCAAGTGTGTGTTATGCGTGTAAGTCTGTGCTTTAAGAATTTGACTATCGTAACATTTTTGTTTTTATTTATTAATTAGTGTATAATTATAGATTAATTACGTTTAAAATGTTCGTCTTGCGATTTTTAACTAATTTGTATAATTAGTTTTTTTCATCTATATTTAATGCTCTATACACGTATCGCAAGATTCGATAGATACCCAACAGCGCTTTTTTGAAAACTTTTTAGAAACTAAACACAGCCTAAGCCGTGCAGTGCGGCAACGTGACGCCGCCGGTGCTAGAATGCAGGATCACTTCTCTGTCACTCAGAGAGTGACACAGTCACACAGTCATTGTCTATCTTATGCAGTACGGAGTACTCCTATCAGCTGTGGACCTACTCTGAAGATAGCTGCAGGCCGGTGGATGGATCAGCGGATAGCCTGCCAGCACAGACGTTTTTTTTTGCTTGTTGTGCGTGCGAAAAAGAACGCACCTACATGTTACGTGCTGCGTATCAGTAAAAATAATTTAGGTTTGATCATATTTTTAATAAATACTATTCATATTTATAGCTTCGAATCAATTTATTATGAAAATACATTGCGTAATTAATTTAATAATATTTATTTGATATCATAAGTATTGATAATATTTTATCTATAATTAGCCCTTGTTTAGTTGTAGGAATTTGGATTTTGGGGCTACCGTAGCACGTTCGTTTTTATTTGGTAAATAGTATTTAAACATGGACTAATTATGCTCAAAACGTTCGTCTCGCAATTTCCCACCAAACTGTGCAATTAGTTTTTCTTTTCATCTACATTTAATGCTCCATACACGGACCGCAAACATTCGATGTGACAGGTACTGTAGCAACTTTTTGGAATTTGGGTTCCAACTAAACAAGGGCTTAGTCAAATTAAACATACCGTGCTAGATTTACGTTCTTTCGTGGACGTTGGGGACACCTGTACCTGAAGCGGCACCGGTGGACGGACGGTGGTGAATGTGCACAATCAGTCAATCACGGCTGCAACTGCAAGTGCCATGTGGTAACATTGCAGGGATGCACTTCTCCAATAGGGTGCAATCATGCGTGCTTTCCCCGAAATACACACCACAAAATACCTGGAAAGATTAAAGAACGGTGGGTGTGAAAAGAAGCTGATGCTCGAGATCCCCTTATCTCCGGCTCGTCCGCTCCATACTCGCCGTGCACGCCCACCAGTCCCAAAGTACGGCCACCAACGCCTTATTCCGTGACCAATCGTGATCACGACGCACGATCTCGATCACGGCGCACCTCACTTGCAGTACGCCACCACGGACGCTGGACCTGGACGCATCACCTTCATCGATCCCATCTTCGTTTTTCCGCGCAAGCGTACGTGTACTGCCTGTGCTCTGGTCAAGATACGCGGAGAAACTGGCGTGCGCTGTGCCGCGGTTCCTTTTCCTCCTCTGCGGAGTGCGGGCTAGATGTGTTGTCCGAGTTCCTCAGTGACACAGCACCAGCCATAGCTGCCTCGATGGATGCTCGGGGGCGCGAGAGTTTGGCGGCCTTTAGCCAAGTGGGCGACGCATCAACATGCTGCATGAGGATCGGATGCGGTTGGATCGGAGATCGAAAAGTACCCTTTGTTGTCTTGTCTTGCTGCTCGGTACTCCATGATTATTGTTTGTGAATGAACAAGTCAAATGACCGAACGTCACTACTGGCACAGGTGTAGTGACCGAACGTCACTACCGGCACAGGTGTTGTCCATCATCCCTTATTTCCCTATCCTACCCCCTGTGACCCAGTATCCAAACGCCACATGAAGTATCGTTAGGCTTGGTCATCAGAGAGCTTAAAGATACAAATGTTATAAGATATAGATAGAGATATGAAAATAGATAGCGAAGAGATATATAAGTAGCAGATACATATATATAGATACATTTGCAAAAAGAAAAGATATAGATAGATGAGATAGATAGACAGACAGATAGATATAGATACAAAAGAAATAGATAAGTAGCAGAGAAGATAGAGATTGAAATAATAGAAATAGAGATATCAACCAATTATTACTCTCGGTCTAGAATAGACAATACAAGTAAGTAAAGAGTTTTGCTCTAGTGGTCTTTGAAAGAACGACCGGAGCAAAACTCTTTTTTGAGGCAATTCTACTCACATGATCTGTGACTGGATTAGCCATAGAAATAACTCCACGCCCCATGCTATTCTGGCTGATGAAACACGTAAACAACATTAGCAAACCGAATGATAGCATAGCAAACAGAACCAAGCACCATGTATGTCAAAAGACAGCCACCTCCACTTCTTTACCAAAGCACTCCAAAATTCACTAGTGCCAGCGCATGCATGCAGCTGAAACGTTTGCAGTCGAGGATGGATAACCGTACCACGGAGCCTTGCAGAATTAAATTCTAGAGCCCAGGTCCACGGAACGCACTTCCCAAGCCCACACCACACCACATCACACCTACCACTCTCTTGCTCTCCCTTCTTCCCTTCACTGCCCCGCCCCTATTTATAGTGGAGCAGCCAGGCAGCCAGCTACGGCTGTGGCACAAGCACACAACAGATCAATCACACTCGCAACTATTCTCTGCTCGTGCGTTCTCTGCCATGGCTCTGCTCTCCGATCTCATCAACCTCGACCTCTCGGACTGCACCGAGAAGATCATCGCCGAGTACATCTGGTGCGTATAGATCGCCCTGTCTCCCTCTCGCTCCATCTGATGCTTTTTCCATCAGTCCCATGGTGTCCCTTGGGATGTTGGCGTGTTTCATCCTGTGGGTTCTCTTTTCGCCGTTTCGTGTTTACTTCACACTGGCAGGAATTTCTGTGACAATCTTTCGGATGTTTGTTGTATTATTAAACATTTTAGGTTGACTTTCATGAATGATGTGTTTATGCCCATTATATATACAAAAAAAAGAACTCAGTGAACTGCATCATTTGACTGTTGTTTTTACCATAGACTCCAGTCAGTTATGCATCACACTGTCTATGTTCATTCCAAAGTTCTGGTGTTTACTTGTTCATTCAGTTTCCCCCTTCATAATCTCGGCGTGCCAGCCATAGGGCATACTAATCCACTGTCAAGCACCTTTGTCTGATCTGCTGCAGGGTTGGTGGTTCTGGGATGGATGTGAGGAGCAAAGCCAGGGTTAGTGCACTTCTTTTTGCACCCAGTCTTACTATCTTGTTGGTAGACTTTTGGTGGAAGATATGTGCCGTGCAAGTGTGCCTTTAGAGCTTGTAACAACTTTTCAAGGGCCTTCTTCACACGCAGCCAGCCCACCTGCATGTTCTTAAAAAAAAGTCAAAGTGCATGACATCTCTGCCTGCCTTTTTTACCCAGACGCTGTCCGGACCTGTTGATGACCCTAGCAAGCTTCCAAAATGGAATTTCGACGGCTCCAGCACAGGCCAAGCTCCGGGTGACGACAGTGAAGTCATCCTTTGGTATCATTCACCAGTCCACTCTCCATCTTCACCTTGACATGTGTGCCTCACTGGTCACTGCCTTGCTGTTGACGCGTTGGACTAAGGCCCCGTTTAGATAAAAAAAACGATTTTGGTTTACTGTAGCATTTCGTTTGTATTTAGTAATTAGTGTCTAATTATGGACTAATTAGGTTCGAAAGTTTCGTCTCGCGATTTCTCACCCAACTGTGCAATTAGTTTTTTTTTTCGTCTACATTTAGTACTCCATGCATGTGCCGTAAGATTCGATGTGATGGGTACTGCGCAAAAATTTTTGGAACTAAAAATGCCCTGGGCCCTAATTAGTCCATAATTAGACACTAATTGCCAAATACAAACGAAAGTGCTACGGTAGCCAAAACCCAAAAAAATTTGCATCTAAACGCGCCCTAATTCACCTTCTCCTTTGTTTTTTTTTGGCATCAAGCCCTCGGGCCATCTTCAGAGACCCGTTCAGGAAGGGGAAGAACGTTCTGGTAACCAGAGACCATCCTTTGATTCATTTTTGCAGATTCTCTGCATGCATGGATGTTGGTCCATGGGTATGGAGACGATTCATCCAATTTTTGAGCTGTTTGTAGGTTATGTGCGACTGCTACGAGCCAAATGGAAAACCGATTCCGAGCAACAAGCGACACGGGGCGGCGACGATCTTTAGCCACCCTGATGTCAAGGCTGAGGAACCATGGTCTGTGTCTTCATCAGCTTCCCCCTACCTTTAGTCCTGCACAAAAATGAACTGATTTCTTGTGTACAAATGTCTCGTTCAATGAAATGGTTTTTCTTATACTGAACCTGTCCAAATTCAGGTTTGGGATTGAGCAAGAGTACACCCTTCTTCAGAAGGACACCAACTGGCCTCTTGGTTGGCCGCTGGGCGGCTACCCTGGCCCTCAGGTAGCTAGGCATTTCTTGCACGCTGCAGTGATTAGTGCTTTTTTTTGGCAGTGATTAGTTTCAGCAAAGACCAAAATTCAATTCTTTCCCACATTACAGTGAAATGAAATACTACTTTTCAGCACAACTAGCCAACTAGGTGCACATTAACAGAAACAAAAGCTCGAGACCACCATGTAATCTGCCTCCAACCATAACAATATCAGAGATTCAGATTTGATCAGCTTATGGAATGATCCTGGCAGGGACCATACTACTGCGCCGCCGGAGCGGACAAATCCTATGGGCGGGACATCGTGGACGCGCACTACAAGGCCTGCCTCTACGCCGGCATCGACATCAGCGGCATCAACGGGGAGGTCATGCCAGGGCAGTGGGAGTTCCAGGTTGGCCCTGCCGTCGGCGTCTCGGCCGGCGACCAGCTCTGGGTGGCTCGCTACATTCTTGAGGTAGAGGCTGCAGCCTACCGGCTGTGTTTGTGTGTTCACTTCTTCTTCCGCGGAGACATGGCGTGCTGTGGTCGTGTCAGTGTGTTTTGCTGATGAGACGTGTTCTTATTTCCGTGTGACTGGCAGAGGATCACAGAGATCGCCGGTGTGGTTGTCTCCTTCGACCCCAAGCCAATTCCGGTGACGATTTCTTTACCAATATTTTGGGTTTTGATATATCTGTGGTTTTGTTATCCTGCTGGTCTCATGTCGTCTCTGTGCATGTGACTGCAGGGCGACTGGAATGGCGCTGGCGCTCACACCAACTACAGGTACCAATCAAAAGAGAAAATTTCTGAATAAAATTGAGCCCAGTCACGACTACTTAGCTGCTCGTGAATGTGCATGCAGCACCAAGTCAATGAGGAGCGACGGCGGGTACGAGGTGATCAAGAAGGCGATCGACAAGCTGGGCCTCCGGCACCGGGAGCACATCGCCGCGTACGGGGACGGCAACGAGCGCCGCCTCACCGGCCGCCACGAGACCGCCGACATCAACACCTTCATTTGGGTGAGCACGACGAGACCGTCGTAACACCTCTTCTTCGCGTGACAGAACGGGCTCATCTCATCGCCTTGTTTGTCCTGTCAGGGCGTCGCGAACCGCGGGGCGTCGGTGCGGGTGGGCCGCGACACCGAGAAGGAAGGCAAAGGTGAGAGGCGGAACCGATTTCTTTCTTTCCCGTGCGGCCTTCTGCTGTTTCGGTTGGGTTCCTGCGGTTGATGATCCTTGTGGGATTTCTTGGTTTGCCTCAGGATACTTCGAGGACCGGAGGCCGGCGTCCAACATGGACCCGTACGTGGTGACCTCGCTGATCGCGGAGACAACCATCCTGCGGGAGCCCAGTCACTCCAACGGCAGCGGCAAGGGCGCCGCGGCTCCTTGATTCTCCGGCTGGGACTGACCTACCTCTCTGTGAGAGGCGGGCTACGTTGATGGCAAATGAGACTGACGCTGTCAGAAACTTGAGATGCCCATAATAATAGCTGCAGTGTGGTGGTTCTAGTGCTGGATAACCCAAGAACACTTTTTTGGAGCTTTTTTTGAAACTGGCATAATTTTATTTATATAGTCTCCTAAATTGTTTGAGATCCAAACCTCAAATCAAGCTTAATGAGTCGAGACGAAGTTGAAAGTCATTTAGAATCAAATTTATTTTCATTAAAAAAAACGAGTTCAATCGAAGGCACTTTTAAAAAGCTTTATGTCCGGCCCTATCTGGTTCCCCTGCTTCTTGTCGTGTGCTTGTGATCGCTGATACGTGTCGAAATGCGTGGGTTCGTGTGCTTGTGATCGCTGATATGTATCGAAATGCGTAGGTTCCGGGTTTCTGTTTTTATTTCTTCATCGGCTTATCTTGGCATACTTGCACAGATAGTGGATTGGTTTATGCAACCGTTTTCATTAACATTCAAAAGAACTCGATTCATTTCCGCTTTCAAAATAGCAACTCGTTTCCAATCTCAAAACATCAAAAATTCGGTGGATGTTCAGAGGGCCATCTATCACAAGAACAGAACATGTATCAGAAGTTCAGAACCACCGGTCACTCCTGTCTGTAAATCATGGAGCTGAACCAACACGAATGTGCTGATCACATCTAACAAGTCCAACACCGCAACCGACAACCCAGTCACAATCCCTTGCCATAATGCCACTCGTCATTTGCAATTACTGGGAACTTAAGACAGGGTCTACAATCAGGTCACACAGGAATGGTCATCAATTCTCGGACGGTTCATAACCAAGTCTCAGCGAACAGCCATCAAAACATTAGTGACAGGTTATACAGGTGAGTAAAAATATTTTTGTACTCTTCAGAGAAAAAATGATACGCAAATGCTCAAACAAACCAGAAACACTTCTAACAAGATTATAAGAAACACGCTCCCAATTACAACACTGTGACAAGATTATTACCGCCTGCTGTGCAGCGGCTTACTCTGCAGTATGGGCAAAAAAACGAGACGAGTCTGATACATACATTTTATTCATCGGTGAGATGCAACAGGAAAGAAAAACTATGGAACAAGAGGCCGGAATGAGTTTGTGTAACCGCCTCAACTCATTCTAAAACACTCTCAAAATTTTTATGTGATAACGGTCGGGGCAGAGCGGCCAGTGTACTCTTGCATCTTGGAGAGCTTGAGCGCAACATCAACCTGAGATGAAACACAAAATTAGTAAATGCAGTTTCACAGAAGCCCAAGGTATATCCAGCTCTGTGAACCGAAAGGACAGGGTAGATATCTTACCAGCGGAGCAAGGGCATCCTGTGAATCCCTGCCGGTCTTGGAGGAATCCTTCTCGTACTGCTCAATGTAGACACGGATGGTGGCACCAACAGAACCAGTTCCAGAGAGGCGGAACACCTAGAATGCCAAAAATCCATGTTAGCTAACCAGCATTAGTTGTGGTCAGTATGATATAGTCAGAGATCTCAAATATATCCATCTGACCAAGGATGAATCCAACTCAGACTTATCATGTACTGACTGATAATATTGCAAAAAAGAAAATGTATTGTTAGACTGTGGAACAAGGTTTTCACACCACTCCTTTTGTTTCGGTTCAAGACATAAAATAGAGGATATCTGAAACAACACAGGTCTACATACCAGTCGTGAACCATCTCCGAAGAGGTATCGGATGCCCTGGTGCTTGGACACAGAGCCATCAACAGGATCCTTGTACTCAAACTCGTCAGCTGCAACTACTTCAGAAACATCAGACCGGATCTCCTTGATCAACCTGACAAAGAGATAATTCAGACATGGTACTAAAAAGTTCAAGTTTGCGATTGCTTGAGTTGATATATATACACGGGAGTACGAGCATAATTTTTTGGAGGAACTAATTCCTTTACATTTAAAAAAGGTCCACTTACTTGTTAACATCAGAAAGTGATGACTGCATGCTTACTAGGTTTGCCATAAGCTCCTTAGCAGCCCCCGCATCAACATTCTTCACAAACAAACTTGTGTATTTAGAATGATATCTGAAACAGGTGGTACATATATGCAAGGCGCATGTCAAAAAAAAGGAAGTACCTCATAGTCATAGCGTGTGTAATAATGGCGACCATATGTGGCCCAGTGCTGACGGACAATATCTTCAACAGTGACAAGCTTATCTCCTCCAAGGTTGTCCTTATTCTTGAAAGCAATAATAGAAAGCCATGCAAGCACAGCCCAGATGCCATCCTTCTCACGAATGTGGTCAGACCCTGGCCAAAGTAGTACATATAAACATCTCAATAATGCCCTGTTCGCTTGGCTGATACCAAATACCAACAAGTCCTTGACTTTACTATGGGTTGGATTCATGAACAACTCAATAAAAGGGTGAGAGAGCTCACTGTCAGAACACAACAAGTGATTTGCCCCATTCATATACCACATGTTAACACAATTTACCCATCTAACATGACGATACAAGAGGTGCTGGCATGTTTACTACTGTGATTCGCATGTATACAAATGATAGCCAGAGGCCAAATATTACCAGTGCCAAAGCTTTCTTCACCACAGATTGAGCACATTCCAGCATCCATCAAATTCCCAAAAAACTTCCACCCAGTAGGCACCTGAAACATAGTTTTTTATGTTAGATTTATCTGGCATTCAAAAATCTTGCAAACCAAGGTCTTAACACTTTACCTCAAAGAACTTGAGATTCAAATTCTTTGCAACAACATCAAGGGCAGCAGATGTTGGCATGCTCCTGCAATTACAACAATGGATTATCATATGTAGCGTATCAGTGCATATAGAAATTTTAAATGCATCTAAGGTCGGACGGCTGCATACAAGCGAGGGATGAAGAAGTTGGCATTAGCAGAAACTGTGTTCCAGATGGTATTGTTGCTGATATGTTAAGCAGATTTATTGAGCAGAACACTGCCTGACTTAAAACAGATGCAGCACAAAATGTAGAGAGAAATATATATTTTTACTGCAGGCTGCAGTGAAGCTTACCGCTTGGAGCCTACAGTGAGAGTTTTTACAGTAACAATATATCTAGATGTTATATTAGCAGCACAATATGGAGGAGAGCTTTTTACCTGGCAACTCCCTTCAGGCCAGAAGCAAAGTAAGGAATTGATTGTACAGCATTGGCCGCGATAATGGCAACAGAGTCCGATGGTGTCACAAAGAATCTATAACAAGGCAAAGGGGGAGTATCATGAATTCCTTGTGCTTTTCTAGAATCCAAAACAAATTTTCTACATAGTAAGATATTCGAACAGATCATACCTTTTACCCAGAATCATGTTGCGATCAGCATCTCCATCAGCTGCAGCGCCAAATTCAGGGGGCTCAACATTTGAGGATGACTTTCCAAGACCCATCCGTTCAACCAACTCTTTTGCATAGGTGAGGTTAGGATCCGGATGACCACCTCCAAAGTCCTCCTACAAAAACATAAGTGATGAATTAATACCAAGCCACATTTTAAGTAGAAATCTGTAACAATAGAAGAACTCATTACTTTCGGGACACAATTCAACAGCGAGCCTTCATCAGCACCAAGCTCTTCCACAAAGATGTGTTTGGCATAAGCTCCAGCAACACCATGGAGCGCATCATAACTAGAAGAGCAAAGCAAGATTTAAGATGTGCTACAGTAATATTATTACGGCAATGGTGACATGGTTGCAGCCATATATGAATACCAGAATGTAAACTTTGGGGAAGTCAGCAGCTTTTTTATTGCTTCAAAGTCAAAAATTGTCCTGGAATTGATGGCAGTAATTAAATCATTAGATTCCCTTGTTACACAACATGATCCAAGTAACATGTAATGATGTAAAGCACAGATATTCTCACTTCAATGAAAGAAAACACGAAAGAACAAGCTACTTACTTCATTAACTTTATGTAATCTACACTAGAGTCAAAGACATCCACATCAAAGGGGCCTTCGGGTCCACTGAAGCTGGTGACACCGACAACAGAAATATCAACCTGCAGTAGTAAAGTAGGAGAAAATGAACATTCCACTAACCTGTCAAAAGAAATAGTGAGGAAATACTTAGCAGGTTGGCACTGACTCATACATCTGGAAGGTCCTCAGAGATGAGGTATTCAGAGATTGTCGTTGTATTAGAGAAAATCTTGTCGGTAACGGATTCAGGGGCAGGTCCACCATTTCCCATATTGTATTTGATACCGAAGTCCTGGAAAGTTCGATGCGATGTATTCAATAACATAGAGCACGAGTGGCACTTGATTTGCAACAGAGATACTAGCAGTGAAAAGTTGGTACCTCCGTAGGACCACCTGGGTTATGGCTCGCTGTCAAGATGAAGGCACCAGTAGCCTTTGATCCCTATTGTCCATGTGTTTATAAACCAATAGTCAGGTTATTCATTAGTCATTAGACAGTATAAAGGAGTAACAAGTAAATGTTCATACTGCTAAACATTGTCCTTTATTAAGAAATCAAACTTACATCTGCACCAATTCTTTCACGGATGACAGCAGATACAGCAGGAGTAGACATGAGACTGTTTAGTCCAACCCAAACACGTCTTACTTCATTGGCAGCAGCCATTTTTGTTATGATCTGTAACAAGCAAAAGCAATGGGATTCTATTTAGTTGATGAAAACCAAGTCTATTAAAAAAACTCGGCCTCAGGGAGAAGACGATACTAAGACTGCATCTGTATAAGGGAGATGGATAGTATTCTAAATCACCTGAACAGCATCTTTTGAGAAATAGCGGCCATCACCAGAGACAACAATGGTTGCACCTATAAGAAAGGAAAGAAGACATGACTAATGAGCAACAACTGCAGAGAGAGAACAATGGAGATCATGAAAATTCTGGCTATGGCAACTGCATTTCCCATTTACAATTTCAATGTATACATGAAAACTGCACAATAATAATTTACTAAAACCTTGCGGTAAACCTTGTCTGAAACAGGACTGGTATTTATCTGATAAGCAGGTTACCTTTAACTTGGTCCGCAGGAAGGGCATTGAATGTTGATTGGACAAAGTTCTGCAGATAATGAGGCTGCTGGAATACAGTAACCTGGTAATATTAACAAAAGATTTTATAAGAAAAAGGCATAATTAGTTGTACTATGCTACAGATGAAACCAAGTATTAACGTAACAAAGTATCTGATGACAAAATCACTTGCATCTGCAATCAGTGATCATTCATACATTTTTTCCTTGATGTAGAAGTAAACTCATCCCGATTAACATCCAATTGATTAATTCCCAATCAAGGGAAGGCTAGCTAGCTAGGAACAAATGCTATGCCCAGCATCAAAGAAAACAATGCATGTGTATAAACACTAGGAGTTACACTGTTCAAGCTACAGACATATAATGGACATAGCTGCCTTGACTGGAGGAATCATTCATTGATCTATAACACTAATAATAAAATGTATTATTTTAATGTTTTCCTACTTAGGGCCCGTTTGGCACGGCTTCCGCCGGCTCGGGCTTCGCCTGACAAAATATGCGCTGACACTGTAGCGATGAGCCGGTTTTCTCTCTCCACCTTTTTTCTGTGTCACTGTAGCGCGGTACTGTAGCATGCGGAGCGAGTGTCAATGAGAGGGGGAGAGGAGTAGAGAGGAAAGCCGCTTCTATGAACAGTACGCTACAGTGTCGGCGTCAGGGAGTCCGAGCCGGCGGAAGCCATGCCAAACGGGCCCTTAATAATGTATAACAATTAACAACAAAGATACAACCATATAAAGACAATCAGTATTGTGTGAAAACATTAGATTGATAAAATTCAGAATGGATATTGTATGATTGTATACCACGCTGGAGATCCATACACACTAGTACAAAATACTCAGATCACACCTCAAGCAATTTGAGGTGTGCCACAGAAGTTTCAGAGTGGTGCCATCACATGCAATCAACAAAAGGTCGATATCAAATTTGAATAACTTGCAGCACAATTCCCACCTTTATGAATCGAAGTCACCAACTACGTTTATAAGCCAAGGGTATCAACTACAAAATCAAAATAGTCTACCCCTCGTCCCATTTTGGAAACACATGAGACCCACTCAAGCCTGAACCAGGATGGAAAAGAATTCCATGAATCTCAACATATGATGAGTTGGAATTTAATGAATGTCGAACCAACCCAACCATAAGCATTAAATGATGCCAGAACAATTTTCATGTGAACATTATCTCGAATGGAGTAATCATTGAGAGACCAAAAAACCATATCGACTATTATGCTTATGCACGAGCTAGGAAAACAGAGAGCATTGTTATCTTCTAAGCCAGTAACTGAATCAGCGAGATCCGGTAACAATTAGCAAAAGCTGATTAATGCGAGTGCAAATTGTATGGATCAAAGCCATGCAAGCACAAGTCCAGATCATTCCAACCCCGCACAGGTCCAACGTTCTATAGGAACCAACGGATCAAGCCAGCAGGCATGCTCCGAACAACACCCATCCGACAACGGTTTCCCAGCAGATCCAAGCAGAAGGACGGATAGAACAGAGCCCCGAGATCCTGCGCTAAAAGCCGCCCCGGCGAGATCCGCGAGGTGGCCGGAAGCGAAAGGCTGTCGGGCAGCGGATCCGAGGCACCAGAATCGAGCACGAACCCGCCGCGTCAGAGAAACAGATAGATCCGGACTGGGGCCCTAGGAACTTAGGCGGAGATCGGGAGCGAGAAGGCAAAGGCGGGAAGGAAACCTTCTTGCGGAGGCCGGAAGTGCCGGGCTTCTGGCCTTCGAAGGGCGTGGTGGCCTTCTTCGTCACAGTGAAGAGCCCCATGGTTGCGCCGCGGACGATCCGCCGCTGGTCGCCGCGCGAGGCGACGAGAGGGGTGACGCGGAGGAAGCGGTGGTGGTGGAGGGATCGGGAGTGAGAGGGCAGGGAGGGAGGAGTGGTGGTGTGGCGACGAGGGCGACGAGGGCGCGGCGATATTATAGCGGGGGAGGGCAGGGATAGCACAAGAGGATGGATCATTCCGTTGTTCTCCTCGATTCCTCGCTTTTTTTCCTCACTTTTTCAAAATTGCGGAGTGGTTTCCTTGGTGATTTGTCTATCGCGAATTCGCGATCCCTGTGGACGTGAAGAATGCGGCCGTGGAGGTAAGCCGACGTGGTTTCTACGTATGGCGTTTCTAGGAACGGTGTACGGTGGTTTATCTTGTTATAATCTAGGGGTATATATACCCATACAGTTTTGTAGCATTTGGGTACGTTAAGGCCCCGTTTAGCACGGCTTCACTTCACTAGTGAAGCTATTTTTTTTGTTTTAGCTTCACGAACAGTTTCACCGGTGGAGCTGAAGCGGTTTTGTTAAATCGTTTGGTAAAATGGCTTCTCTGTGAGAGCATGTTTTTAGGGGCCTGGAGGAGGAGCCGGAGAAACCATTTTTTTTTACTTCATCCCACCCCAAATCATTATGAGAGCATATTTTTAGAAGCTTCACCAGTGAAGCTATTTCACTTTACCCCATTTAGCAGAAAAACGGCTCCAAACGACTCTAAAGCTGATGGAGAAGTCCTGACAAATGGGGCCTAATTATTCTTTTGTTTTCCTGAACACGTATGCTATTTGTGAGTTGTTTTCAGCCTTACTTGTGTCAGTTTAAACCATAGCTCTCGGTTGATCAGGATAGGCATAGTTATAATTGATTAATTAAGTGGGTGGAACTTTATTTCATGAGGTGTTCGATACATAGTGTAATAGCAAGAACAAATGTTGAAGAGTTAACAGAGCATAACAAATTAACTGTTTTTTTTTTGTTGTTGTCTTGAATAGATTACACTTTCACACCGTCCAATGCAGTATGCCAATTCTCATGGGCTACAATAGTAGTTCACTTGTTATACAGCTCATGCAGAAGGGTATCAAATTTAGATAGGCCTAAAAGGAAGAAAACAAAAATATTTTTATGTTTTATAAGAGTTATTCCATACATGCTTCCAACCAAAATGAAGTTAGGTTCTCTCCTGTGAAAAAAGCTAGCCGCGCCTAGCTGTGCTTTCATGTTCGCAGCAAAATCACGAAAAGAGCATGTAAAAGACAAAACTAAATTAGCGCCCTATTTTAATTTACTGACGTAATACATCGCTCTTCTTCGATGCTTTAATACGATGCCTCAAATTCATCCTACGATTTATCATCTATGGAACTGACAAATAAAAAAACTAACGTTGCTTGTTTTGCGGGTAAAAATAAAGAATAATTGTTAAAATTGTGATCCCATGGTGATCTTAGCTTATCGGCTTGATTCTACAAAGTTATGATTCTAATATTAAAGTTCGATTCGATTCAGATCATGATTTTAACAGCCTTAAAAATAAGACTTTAAAATAACCATTCATGCAATGATATCTTAGAAAAACACGAGATTCCATACCAGCTACAAATGCTCCGAGCTATGGTATAGGCCTATGTAATAGCCCCGTTAGTCCTCGGATAATAAAAAATACTCCCCACCAAATGGAAGTTAGTGTCCTATTCGTTTGGCTAAAAAAATATGACTGATAATACTGTTGGTTAAATTGTTATGAGAAAAATATACTATTCGTTAATAAAAAAAAATGCCTTACAAGCCAAGCGAACATAGAGGTTCTCTCTTTTGTAAAAGCAAGTGGCATTTGTACCTATAGCTGTCCTTTGCTGTTTGCAGCAAAAGCAAGGAATAGGCACGTAAAAGACAAATCTAGCTTGGCAATGAACCGTAGTATATGATAAATACCAACGGCCCACACCGCTGTCCGCTGGTGATTTGTGGCACGTCACTTTTCTTCAAGTGCAAAAGCACATAGTTTCGCATCCTAATTTGTACTCGTGGCCTAATCAAACTCTTTCTCCCATTATATATTACAATTTACAGCCCATAGCAATTAGCAAACTTAGCACGTGTATGTACCAGAAATCAATCCTTGACGCAACACAGTGACCTGTAATATGAACAATTCCGATCCCGTGGTCGTGAACGCCTCGGTTTTCAGATACAGTATCTGATTATATTTTCCGAAGCACGTTAGGGTGTTAGTTAGATGCATGGGGTGGCTGTTCAGCATCAGCTGATCTGGGCGTCCCACTGCCGCGGCGTCTAGGCTCCGTTCGTTTCATTGAAAAAATAAATTAAAATACTATTATAGATAATTTATTATGAAAGAAAGATATTATTTTAACTGAAAAACAAGGTAAAAAGTATCTATTATAAGAGGGCCCTAATTCGACGGTGACCCGCTGCCTAGGCACCGACACCACGTGTTCCCGTCTTCGAAAACCTGCCGGGTGTCGGTGGACCCGACCCCACCGGTGGTCTCTTCAAAACCAAGCGAGCCGGGACTGGGACTGGGACTGAGAGAGCCTGGAGCACCTGGCAAGGTGCTGTTTTACAATGATAACCTGGTCTGATCTTTTTTTTTACTATTTAATATAAATAAAGAGGAGTTAGGAGAAGAATCGTGATCAGAACAGATCTATCATCTATAGAAAAATGTGTTGTTCGGTTTTTAGTTTTAATTTTATTTTAGCCATATAAACTGGGTGAGCTGGAGTTGTCATTGCCTTCGGGGAAGCAGAAGCCAGAGCACAGCCGGAAATGTCGAGCGGCTAGTCACCGTGCGAGAGTAAAGCCCAGCCCATAAACTACGGGCCGAAACTATTGAAGGCCCATGTGGACATAGACACCTAGACTACAACGAAAATTGTCGCCTCGTCGGTGTCCCGGCCTCTCGTCGGTGTCCCGGCCTCTAGTGCGGCCTGTAACAGGGAGCTAGCAGCCCAAATGAAGCCCAGGACGGAAAACAACATAGCTAGTGGGACTTTGTCAAAAAAAAAAAAACATAGCTAGTGGGAAAACAGTAATGTACTAATGTTACAGTCACATCAAGGAAATGGAACATGACAGTGCATTTTTAATTAGCCAGTGCTTTTCACGAAATGATTATGCTTCATATTATTAATTAATTTGAAGAAAGAACTCGATGACCTGACGGCAGTTATACTGTCAAATAATGATTTGGGCTTTATACTGGACTGCCAATGCAGTATGCAGACCCGTTTATTTTGACCCTACTTCTCTATTCTCTACCGCGCACAGCACTCTTGCCACAAAACCAAGACATCAGCGACCACCGAGACCAAGATACTGGAGGGCAGCGACGGATCCAGAAAATATTTTAGGAGAATTGAACAACACATACTATTTGATCTTACGTCTCAGCCACCTATAAAACTTTGCCTAAAAATTCATAAGGCTTTAAAGGGTTTTCCACAGCTACGATATGGGTACCCCCGTTGGATCCGCCCACGCTGGAGGGGACAGGGACCAGGGAGTAATCGGGACCTCGGCTACCACCCCGTACTCGTGCAGGAAGGACGCTCTCTGATGGTACGACTCGCCCAGTCATACATCGCTGTCGTCTGCGTCCAGCCTTGTCGCCGATCGCCCGTAGCAAGTCAGTACGTGACGGCGCCACAGGTCCTGCTTGGCAACCGGGGAACCCATCGGAGGCCGACCCGCGCGCTCTATCTCACCTCAAATTGGCTGGTGTGCGAACGAGCTCGATGGACCGATGCCCGGTCGTGCTCGCCGCTCGGAGGGCTCAAAGAGCCTGTGGCTCTGGTCGGGCTACGCGAGTCACACACAGAAGACCAAGCGCGGGAGCTAGCTAGGCACACGGCGACAACGCAGCACCGGACAACAATGCCATGCTGGCTCGAACCGGCGTGACCGCGTGAGCAAGACACCTCGATGATCCTTGGCTCGACGTGCAGCAGACTCGCAGTGTCGGACGAACACTGAGCCCTGCAACTCTGCAAGGTGTGTACGTACATGCCGGTCTGCGAGATGCCGCACGCACGACGGTAGAAAAATCGTCTGATACACCGGGGCTGGCGTAAAAGTCTGCGACTTTGCTGTGCACGTGTCCGCACAATCCAGAAGAGCAACGACCAGCATGTAACTCTTGGAGCATTGATCCGTGACATGTTGAATTATTTAGCAGTGCACGAAAAAACCCCGGTACGGCGGTACGCCGTAGGCGACCACGAGAAGCCCGTCCGGTCGGTCAGCTTGGACTGGGTCGGCCGCTGTTTCGCCAAGGCCTCGTACCGACATGCGTTGCGCGTTTGCCGCGACGAGCCGCCATTGTTTTTCAATGCGCGTGCACCGAGGCGCCGCCCGCCGGCTCGCGCGGCAGGGTGACCGTTCCCGGCTTCGGCATGACCTTCCGGCGGCGGTCCGCACGAGGGCGGAGGATCCGCGCGGTACGGAGCGCGAGTGCGAGGCCGCGGAACGAGGCGCGCGTCGGGCCTCGCGGCGCAACGGCGTCGTGTCGACGTCGCGCGGGCGCCGTGAGCGGCCCCGCCTGTGCTGCTGTGCTACACCGTACACCTCGCGATTCGCTGCAGGAGAGTGCACTTTCGAAGGCTTTCCGGCGCGTGATATCCTTCGACTCGTAATGGCCGGCCCATTGCGGAGAACGTGACCCGGAACTGGGCCTCATGTCGCCGCCTTTCACTTTCTCCCTTTTCCACTAAGAATTTTTGATGTTTTATATTATAGTTTTAGCGAAGTGGTTCCTGACTTCACGTAGAAAAAAACTGGTGACGGGCTGTTCACCTTTTCAACTTTTCACTGGAATGGAATCCAAATGTTTTTTCGAAAGGCAATGGAATCTAAATGTGTCCAGAGGCGCTCAAGCTTTTCATACTCGATGGAGACTATTTTTTCTTTAACCGAGTGATTATCCGATGTTAACCATGAAACTATCAAGAACAGAGGTCCACAGGCCGAGGATT